CAAAGTACTTCTTACCCCAGCTGCTACAAGGCCACTTATATGAGCCATATCTGCCAGCAAGACAGCTTTATGTTCATCAGCAATCTGTAAACAATAACCAAACATTGAGCAAAATTTCACTTAATTTTAGGAAAACAAACACTCTTTTTCTTATTTGTACAGTTTTTTTAAGACAATACCTCTCTCATTCGCTCATAGTCATAAAGTCTTGAGTAGGCACTGGCTCCTGCGATGATCAGTTTAGGACGGAAAAGACGAGCAGTTTCTTCTAATTTGTCATAGTCTATTAAGCCTGTCTCTTCCTGAAACACATCACAGCAAAGCACAGAACTAATCATCAGTTAATAGAGTTAATGAACTGATTTTCTTACACCTTTTGCAATTTTTTGACTGCTTTTACAATACACTTCAAAAGAAATAATACAATGGAAAAAATGACAAAATTTCAGTTGTCTACAAATCCTAGGAGTAGGAACCCTCGTAAGGTAAAACCCTTCCATCCGGAAAAATAAAAAACAAACTTAAAAAAAAACATTTCATAAGCTTTAAAGGCTGCTTAATGACACAAAAAGTAACAACTTGCAGTCATTATTATTGGAAATTAGTGTAGGGTTACTCACATTAAGCCTGTATGGCATTGACTCAAAATAGATTGAAGTTGCTGAAATCCTCTTGGTATCAGTCATGAAGCCATGAGTTAAACTGTGACAAAAGATCAGACAACAGATTACTGTCTATCATACAAAATTATCATCAAATAGTTAACCACTGTCTGGCCTAAATGGAGGTTTGGTGCCTGTATTAATGTATTCAAACTATTTTCTTTTCATTTATAAATGTTTCACAAACACCATCATGAGGAGTTTGTGACATATGGTTTCAAAATGACCTTTTAACTCTCATGATCAGATACTATACCCATCCCCTGATCTTGTTGATACATTTATCTATTCTCATTTCCTGACTGGATAACGTACTAAAATTGCAAAGAGAATTTACATGTTAACATCAAATGTTCAAACTTACTGTCCCCCATGGGGCAAATCAAGCCCCATTATTCTGTCATGTGGCTTCAAAAGACCAGTGTATGCAGCAAAATTAGCAGGTGACCCTGAAATGAAATTGCCGTGATAATACAATCAAGTATAAATGTGTCTACCCTTAACACTGTCACCCTAACATCAGTATGCATATTCTCCATACTGTTCGCCAAACATGTCCTTTGCTGCTGACTAGGAGAATTTGTTGAACAATCAAAGCTTCTGAGGTTGGTGATCATTTCCTTTATTCTCATGATCTTAATGAATGATTCAGAAGTATTATTGTTAGGAGAAATTAGATGCTGGTCACTCACAGGGTTTAAAGTGTCACAAGGACAAAATGAAAGCAATCGGCTTCAAAAACAGCCCTCAATATTGCAACCGTCTTGGTGACCATGTCAGGTGTCCATGATTTAATGTTAAAGTAGGAAAAACATTTGTGTGAAGAATTTTACAATATTACACAAATTTTCTTCCCAATTTTTTTTTGTGGCTTAGTTTTATATCTGTCAACCATTTACCCGTACCAAATAGTAACTTAAAAAAAAAGGAGAACTTTATCTGATTTCAAAGACCAAGACTTTGAGGCATAATTGTCTCTTGTTTCTGACAAATCTTTACCTGAGTATGGTTGAACATTCACACCCCACTCTTTTGGATCCAGATTAAAGGCTTCAAGTGCTCTCTTCTGAACAAGCAGCTCAATTTTATCAATTATCTGTGTTCCTCCATAATATCTGTAAAAGAAAACCACCAGTTTAAGTGAAAAAGGATTTGTAAAGTAAACAAACCACCACTCTTTTCTGATACCATTCTGGTTGCCATAGCCAGTGGAAAAAAAATTATTACCAGAATAAAATTATTGCAAATGAATGAAAGTTGTTTATTTGGCAACAAGTATTCTGCAGTCGTGTATTAAGTTGCCAGTTTTTATCATCACTGGGACATCAGAGCCTATAGTTTATGCTAAAAAAAAGGTAAACTTGCATGCACGACTGATATGCTCTAACCGCCATTGCCCTTTCAGAAAAATAGCCTTCTTCTTCCCAGTTGGCTTGGTATTAACCCTTGAGAAGGTCCCATGAAGTTCCAAAATGATTATTGGTTGTATTGCTTACTTTATTGATTAACAGGGTACTGGGTAGTCAGCATAATATATTGTACAAAGTTTCCTTTCTTCTGGTAACTTGAATCTTATTTCTGATGATTATTTTTTTATTGTAAGCCACCAAGAGACAACTTAAAAAATTTGAACAATATCGATTCAATTCTAACTCAATGAATGGTTGCATGTTGTTAGCTCTTTGCTTTGACAAAGGGCTAACACTCAAAACATCAACTATAGAAACTTTTTACAGTGGCCAGTTTACATTATCAACTCATTTGATAAAACTTAATTATTTTGTAACACCCCCCACTGACTGAGCACTATAGTTTCTATACAAACTTACCCTTTTATAAAATGGTTATGTCAACCCCAAAAATTATCATGCATATTAAATTCTGTGTGGGTTAATTCAGTTGTATTCATGAGTCCAATGACAAAATGTTACTTGAGATAAGAAAATAATTTACCTTTGACCAGGGTATCCTTCAGAATACTTGTTGTTTAAACAAGATCCCATGGCCTCGAGGGCAGCACGACTGCAGAAGTTCTTTAAATAAACATTAAAAATCAGTTATTTGTAGATTGATTGTCACTCCACACAGGGACTGCACTCTTAAAATGCTATTAATACAGTAGTTTGGAGCTCAACCAATTAAGCCTTTCACTAAGGCAACAGGACGAGAAATTTTGAAATTTTTCTTTACCTACAGGCAATCAATGGCAAAATTGACACTCAATACAGTAAAAATCATTATCATTGTTATGAGGTCGAAGTTGCTAAATGAAACCAATATACATATAGGGTGGATGATCCAAACCAGAACAACTTTACTTATACACAACTTTAAAACAACATCTCAGACTGTTCAGCTTAAACTCAAAATGGTCATTCCTTCACTCTCGCCTTTGAAAATTCCAGCTTTAGAAATACATTGCAGCTATAGAGATACATTACGAAACAAACTAGAAATTAATTCCCACACAAAAATAGAAATGTGTTAAAGTGTAAAAGTAAACCAATGGGGATTGGGATTGTTAACAAATGACAAACACTTCAAAATAAGCATACAGTTAATTAAAAACCAGAGATTAATTCCCACGCAAAAATAAAAATAGCAATTAAGTGTAAAAGTAAACCAATAGAGATTGTTAACAAATGACAAGCACTTCAAAATAAGCATACAGTTAATAACAAACCAGAAATTAATTCTCATGCAAAAATAGACAGAGCAATTAAGTGTAAATCATAAGGGACTGTTAAGAAATGACCAAAACTTCAAAATAAGCACACAGTTAATAACAAACCAAAACTTAATTCCCATGCAAAAATAGACATAGCAATTAAGTGAAAATCATAAGAGACTATTAAGAAATGACCAAAACTTCAAAATAAGCAAACTGTTAATAACTAACCAAAAATCAATTCACATGCAAAAATAGAAATAGCAATGAAGTGTAAAAGTAAATCATAAGGGATGGTTAACAAATGACAAACACTTCACAACAAGCATACAGTTAATAACAAACTAGAAATGAATTCCCACGCAGAAATAGCAATAGCAATTAAGTGTAAAAGTAAACCATAAGGAACTGTTAACAATTGACTAACACTTCACAATAAGTATACAGTTATTAACACCTAAAAGAGAGACATTTATAGTACTTAATCACTTATAACAAAGTTAGAATTTTCTCGAAAATCTAAACACAATTTTCATAACAATCATCATCATTAGCGTCATCACAGTATGTATTATTTTCCCTAGGTGGGCAGCACAGTAGAGAAAGAGAAAAATTTTCATTTCAGACCTCAGAGGCAATGAGTTCCAGCCCCCTCACTTGACGATCCTTTTCCTGTTGAATCAAGTTGTACATTTCAGGGTCATCATCTTCAAGTTTCTCTTGGCCTGTCCATATAGTGGCCCTCATTGACACAGATCGGCAAAGAGACTGCAACGCTGTGCTGCTTAGGAGACTATCATAACAGGGCTGTGAATGAAATGAGAACTTACTGGTTAGAGGGCTTTCCATAACCTTCTTACACTAGGAGTAACCAAAGGAAATTTCTCCTCATGGTAAAAATACAGTTACAAGCTCAAAGGACAACATAACAAGTAAGTAAAATACCGACCAGGAGACACCATTTGATTTAACAACAAATTCTCATGTTAAATTAAAAGAAATGTATGGCACTGGTGAGGAGAATTGAAATTTAGATCTTGGTAAGGAATGGGTTAAAGTTATGTTGAAAGTCTGTCAAATAATGATGAATGATATTTCAGTTAAAAACACCCTACCCTCTCACACCATTCACCCAAATGCTTTGAGTAAAGGAGTACATGCATCCCACGTCGGTACCCAGAGAGGTACTTCCGTTAAAGACGTTAAGATAGGAAAGTGTTTCAGCTATGAAATGGCTTTTCGTTACTAAATTTCCATTCAAACTGCACTTAAAAATAAAGTTTTAACTTTTGTTTTAAACGCTCATTGCAATATGTTCATGTGTGTATGTAACCACTTTGTTCAGAAAAAGGGTGAATTAATTTAATCAGTGATTTTACTCACATGGGGGTAAACTAGCACTTAAGCTAAGAGGTATACAAAGAATTAACGTGTAAAATTTTGAAAATTGAACAGCAGAGGTAAAAAGTTTAAACAAAGCTAGATTTTAAAATATCACAGATTCTTGGTGAAGAACAACCTTAAATAACGATGTATTTTCTAGATTTTCACGATTGTGCAATAAGCCTCCTTCGTTATTCAGCTGCACGAAAAATTATTGACTCGTCCTATGCAAGATTTTTTACGCGTACGAAATAATTCACTAGCAAAATCAGTCTTGAAAATACACTTACCTTAAGTGATCCGAGTTTACGCGTCAAAGAAAACATTTCTAAAGCTTATAATGAGGGAATAAATTACAAAAATAAATAAAAAGCGCTCGCAGAAATGATGTTTCCCGAAATTTACTGAAGCCGACGAGGAGCAAACAGGCCTGCTGTAGTAATGGTCAGTGGTAAGAGTACAAATCGAACGAAATATTCTCCTCCTCTCCCCTCATAGTTTTAGAATTTATTTCGTTCCAGGCTTTTCTCGGTTTTCCGCGGTGTAGACATCCGCTTCGTTCCGCTCTTCAAATTCTTTACACGAGGCGTTTTAAAATTTGCTGAGCTTTCATCGTTGTTTGCAGTTTTCTCACGGGTCAAACGCATATTGCTGATTTACAAAAATTTCAAGCTATCCGTGACATCTCCTGGGTTTCAAACAAGAGGCCTTTTTTTGGACATTATGCGGCTTTTTTCACCGTGCAGGTGGTAGTGTATCGTAAACAGACTTGGTAAGTTAAGCGTAACGTGTTTTGTACGTGATTGAAGTTGAGGACAATGGGCAGTTAAAATTTTCAAACCACCGACAGATTACTCCGACACCCAGGAGTTTATTTCGCTGTAGTTTTAAGGACCACTTGAGAGCATTTAACTTTTTTGCATGGAGAAATTGCGGTGAAGTTTCGATGCTTTTTGGTTGTTTCGAATCGCGGGAAGAAGTTCACTTCGTGGTCGTGGGAAAAAACTCATGTTTATCGTATCAAAGAATGTGAAAACTGCGTAAGTATTTCGAGACCTGATGGTAAAGTTTGATAGCGTGAACTTTAAGTAGCCTTGTTTTAGCACGGGTGAGGACTAAAATCCCTTACTTTACGTCGACATAGGTTTTTTTGAAAGGTAAGTGTCGAGATGCCGGTCACACGAAACAGATTTTTTCCCTTTCATTTGTTGATTTTTATTTATCAGTCAAGGTCAATTTTTCTAACTGTTCGGTGGCATATACTGCCGCAGCTGAGTAGTCACTGTGTTTAAAGGTTTGTACGTCTTTCAAAGTGATGAATTATTCACAAAATTATCTCATTTCTCACATGCAGGGGTCGGTGCATAACCACAAAGCCGGATTCCACTCATCTCCCTTCACTACGAATTACGAAACGCCCAAATCGTGAACAACGAAGAGTACTTTCGAGGGCGAAGGTCGTTTTAGTGGTTATCTTGCCTAAATTTTGCTGCACAATATCGGACCAAGGACTGTAAAATCAATATATAGTATTTTATAGGTGACGAAATCTGCTTCATTCAATACGGACGTCGTCTGACTCGAGCAATTCAGCACGTTTGTTCGTTCACCGTATCTCGTGCGCCGGTAAAGCGATCGAATTTGTGGCGTTTTGTAAGAAGATGAATGGTAGTATTCTTTTGAATGGAAGTCAGAGATCAGAATTAGTTATTTTAGTCAAGGGAAAACGATATAGACCTGTTATGGCTTCTGCTCCCGCAAACAAGGAAAATGTCTCTCCTGAGAAAGACATGGAGTGTTTGTCAGACAGTTTCCAAAAGAGTCTTACAATGAATCATGTCGAGAAAGATGGACGTTATTTTCTGGATGTAATGGAGAAGGAAAGCGAACGATTAACGCGGCTTTGTCAAATTGCAGAACAAGAGATGGAGAGTAAATCGCTTCCAGAAGACGGTAAGATATTTTGAGATTATTGTTGGGAAAGTGTACAATGTATTCGATGAAAGGTACGCTTTTGATTCTCGGAGGTGTACCCAAAGACTAGTTTCACCACTTTTGCGTAATCATTTTTGCAGAAAATATCTACTCGAAGCTATCCTTATGAAATTTCAAATTGGATAGCCCCGTTCGTGTTTACTTTTGCTGTCTTCGTGTTAATTTCTGTCTATGTGGTTTGGTCTTAAAATTTCATAAAGCGTTACTACAATTTTTTTACATTTATTTACTGGCGAAGGAAAAATTACCGTTCTCAAATCAAAGGAGGAAGAACTGTATTCACTCTTTAATTTGTAGGTGGAGGAGTTTATGCACCGTATCATCAGCTGTTGCAACGAATCTGCATAGCACAAGTTTAATGTCAAAAAATTTAGCTCTCAAATTTTCTTTGTGTATTTAACATCCTGTGATCCAACTGTTTTTTCAAGAGGCTTGACAAACATGCTCTAAAAAGTATCTGACATGATGTGTGAATGCAGATCTAGGGCATGTACCAACAATATAATTTACTGGAGAAGGGAGAATTTTCAACACTAATCAGCTGTTTACATCTAAAATGTCCACACCTTAAATTATTGTCCATCATTTCCAGCTGGGAAATATTGGGAAATGAAAAAATGTTACAAAAATGGTTATGTTGAGCTCCTCATAACTTTCTTAGCGTCATTTTGAGGAATATAAAATTTGATATTTATTTTTTCATTTTACATGTCTAGCTGGAAGAAAATTGCTTTGTGCTAATAACTTGATTTATGCAAATCAGTGTTACGTGAATATTATTTTAAGTTACCTTTTTAATGCAGAAAGTTAGTTAGCAAATCCTTAACTCAAGAAATCATAATTTTTACTTAGAAAACAGATTAAAGTTTATCTCATTTTTCTCTAAGTAAATTCCAACTAATTGATGTTATCAAATTGCAGTTGTGCTTTCAATTTTGATGTTACCTTAGTAATTTGACTATTTATTGTGTAGTTTTGTGGTAAACCTCGCCCACAATATATTACTTAAACTTGGCGTGAGTTACATCACAACAACATTTTTAATGATTTCAAAATATTTAATTGTTTTGATGGTAGTTACTAGCTACATGTAGCGACCATAGATGAGATCTGTTTGTTAAATTTCATACTTTTAGATGAAAGTATACTCTAGTAAGTAACTTGTGACCAGTTTCATATTTGGTCAAAGTGACATTTCAACTAGCAATTGACTCCTTCCAGTCATTTCTGCTCATGAATTTTTTTCATGAATACTAGATGTGTGTAATTGTGATTGTTTGTCTCCAGACACCATCAGCTGCGTAGATTATTTTACCTTCATAAAAATACCATTCCTTTACCTATACTGCTTTATCACAAGTTTCAAAGAATATCCGTCAAAGGGAAAAAGTACAGGAAAGCTTTCATAAATTGATATTGTGCATTTGAGGTTACTTGTTGCAATATATCGCAAAGGAGCTAGGTTGTCTACTAAGTCTTCACTTGACCTGAATTTCAGATTTTACCTTACAAAGTTGCCTCATTCTACAGATCTGGCTCTTAATGATACCAAAACAGAGTCTCAAACAAATCAAAACAGATTTGCTTAGAGAAAGTTTGGTAAAATGTGAACATGAGGTCTTTGTGAAGAGCAGATACAAAATTAAAAATTGGCAAACTAAACTGTAGCTAAAGAAAACTTAACCCTTTACACCCTAAGATCAGTATGCACATTCTCCATACTTTTTTCTATACATTTCCTAAGGTACTGATAAGGAGATTTTGCTTAACAATCGAGCTCCTGTACTTGTTGATCATTTCCAATGTTCTCATGACCTTAATGTTTGATTCAGGGGTGATGCTACAGAGAGAAATTAGATGCTAGTCACCTTTAGGTGTTAAAGGGTTAAACATGGATAAAAGGGGTAGGCCTCTAAAGAATTTTTGATGCTGTATCAGTTGGGGGGGGGGGTATTAAAGATAATTTGGTTTTATCAACAGAATCATTAACTAAAGGTTAATTGGCTACCATCATGTTCGAAGCTCAATCTCTGATGAAGAACTAACACTTGAAATGTTGCCTTTCGAAACTCTTTACAATGGCCAATTTACATTATCAACTCAGTTGAGGAAAACCAAATTAAGCATGCTTGGATAGTTAAATCAAACAATCAGCTCTTTGGTTTGTATCAACTCTTGATAATTGCATTATGATAGTGACTCTTACATGTTGAGGAAAGAATCTTTCATCAACTCTTTTTATGGAAACTACATAAATCTCTGTTGTACACAAATGCCATCCTGACAAGCTTTTCTCTCTGGGACAATTAGACAATCCCAGTGACCTCAGCTTTAACAAGACCCCTGTAGGTCTCTTAAGCAATGCCAAAACCAACTCTCATATTGAGATTTGTCATCAAAACAAAGGTAACTCTCTGCTGAACAGTAATTTTTACTATATAGTGGATAGTGTTGGTCACCTTCAGTGTTGTAATACCTAAGATGATGTTATAGTAAAAGCCATTAATTTTCTACCGTGTCATTGGGAGATATTTTCCATTTACTTGGAAAATAGCCTTAATAATACAAATGTTTTATCAGAATTTATACTGTCAACCTTTTCAGTTTGGCACATTGTAATGTGGGGCTAAATTTTTAGAATTGGTGTTTCATGACCGATACCATATTTTGTATTGTCACTCTCAATATATATCTTGGGACATGTTTCCTGTAGAGCATTGTTACTATGGATTTTTTTTTAGTGACACTTTTCTCAGAGTTAAATATTGAATTCTTAAATATTACTTTAGTCTAGGTTTGTTTAAGATAATTTTTGTTGGTATTTAAATGAGAAATATTTTCCCTGTGAGTATTATTGAGGTTTATGAATTTTGACTGCCTTTTTTGAGAGTAAAAAAAAAAAAGAGACATTTGTTAGAATATTTAAAGCCAACATAAAAAAATAATTTGTGATATTGTACTTTGTAAAGGTTTTTATCAAATATTCATTTTTGTCGGCATCTTATTAAAGTTTTCCCTTTAGGTATTGATATTGAGGTTTATAAATTTGGAATTCCCTCATGGAAAGACAGAAATGATTGTTTTACAAAACTTTATTGTCAAGTCCACAAGTAAATTCCACTCAAGATGTGTTTTGAAATAATTTGTGATGTTGCCCCATGCTTGTCACATACATGTATGGACTTGTAATGTTCTTTCCATTCTTAAAAATGGATACAATTTAACATCCATATGCTTGATATTAGACCAAAATATTTTTGAGCCAGTATATTGAGATAAGAGTAGGCTTAAATTAAACACAGACTGATGCATTGTGATGTTGAAAAAAGGTTTTTTTTTTGCCTTTGTGGTTTTTTGTTTCCTCCAGTTTCATTAGATGCTGAATATCATATTGCATATTGAGACAGCTATTGATTCAATATATTCTGTTCTTTATTTACTTTGAAATTTCATTTCATAAAATTGTATCAACTTTTTTTTGACAATCACAAATTCTAAATTCAAAAATCATTTTTAATGCACAATTATGAATTTTTTTCTTTGAGTACTTTATGGAGTGTTTAAATTCGTTTGAGTATTCAATGGATATCAAAGCCAGGGTGACATGCAACTGTTAACAATTTTAACATATTGATGTGTTGTTTCTCTCTTTCTCTCCAAGCATGTGGGAAAATTAGAGCAGCCAATGGCAAGGCCAAGCTCTTGGTCAATAAAAAGTTCAAGCAATTCAAAGGACTATGTGATACAAACTTGGTAAGCTTTGTGAGAAA